ATGTGAAACTTACTAAATGTAGAATACAAATGTCTTAACACAATAACTAAGAAAATGCCATGAAGGCTATGTTAACCAGTTTGATGAAAATATTTCGAATTATATATAAAACCAGCACATTGTACCCCACGACTGCATTAATGTACACAGCAATGATTTAATAAAAAAAAAGAAAAAGAAAAAGAAACAACCTTATTTTGACTAATGGTGTTTACTTCCTGAAATAGGCTGATAGTGCTACCTCGGTTATTGAAGAGTAACTGCTGGCCATCTGTTTCCTTCTTAGGCTGTGAGGTTGAGATTCTTGGTGTCAGACCTACTTACTGCCTAGAATATAAAAATGTCCCAACGGATATCAATTTTGCCAACGCTGTCAGTGATGCTCTTGACTCATTCAAGTAAGTGTCCTGAATTCTCAGCCATATCATTGTTCTTCCTTGTTTTGGGGACCAGTCATGGACCGGAATGTGAATTAAGAAGGCTCAGTGGTGGTGAAATGATGTCTCAGAGCATTGGGGAGACTCTTGCATGGTGACGGTTAACCGACGGTAGGAGGTAATTGTGAGCAAGTGATTTCACTTTTGTGGGGCCGATATCTGGAAATGTTTAATGGAGAATAAGAAAGTCCCCAGGGGTTTGGGACCTCCTTTTTTATGTTACTGGACAATGGAGAAGCAATATAAACATCAGCACTTCCCTAATAATGATTCCATGAACAATTGTATCTCAGAAAATACTAGTAAATATTTGGCAAAAAGGGAGGGCCTGTGGCCAGATAACTTTGGGAGAATTGCCCACACTTCTCCTTCTTAGATATGTACTCAGCACATCAACGTATTAGAACATAGCATCGGCTGGGTGTGGTGGCTCCTTGCATTCTAGGTGACCGAGGCAGGTAGATTGCCTGAGCTCAGGAGTTCAAGACCAGCCTGAGCAAGAGTGAGACTCTATCTCTACTAAAAATAGAAAAACTAGCTGGGCGTGATGGCAGATGCCTGTAGTCCCAGTTACTCGGGAGGCTGAGACAGGAGGCTCGCTGGAGCCTAAGAGTTTGAGGTTACTGTGGGCTGTGATGATGCCACAGCACTCTACCCAGAGTGAGAGTGAGATTCTGTCTCAAAAAGAAAGAAATTGACATAGAATCTTTTTTCTCTCCCACATGTGGAATCATGACACACAGTTTGAAAAAAATGTACTCAGGGCAAGTGAGACTCTGTCTCAAACAGGAAATGCTACCCTAAAGAGCACTAGCGCCTTACAAACATCGGCTTGTTCAAAACCCAGCATGACCCTTTGAGTAGGTTTTTCTGACGGAGGAAATTGAGGCCTAGAGATACTTTTGCAGCTCATCTGAGACCTCCAGGTCAGTGAGGAGTGAAGCCAGAGTTTCACCCCAGATTTGGCTAGTTCAGAAACCATCCCAGTCAAAAAATATCTTGTAACTTGAAACTTCGTCATGTGTTCACACCTCTCTGTGTGAGGATCATAGCAAAGTTCAACTTAACTTCTTCCTGAGGGGAGTCAGGAGGACGATGAACAAACAGGTGGCCAGACTTGGTGGCCCCCGCCTGCAACCCCAGCGCTCCGAGAGGCCGAGGCAGGAGGGTCACTTGAGCTCAGGAGTTTCAGACCAGCCCAAGCAAGAGCAAGATTCCGTCTCTACTAATAACAGAAAAACTAGTCAAGTGTGGTGGCAGGTACCTGTAGTCCCAGCTACTTGGGAGGCTAAGTCAGGAAGATCACTGGAGCCCAAGAGTTTGAGGTTCCTGTGAGCTATGACGACACCACTGTACTCAGGGCAAGTGAGACACTGTCTCAAAAAAAAGGCACTCTTACCTTTTAGGGTGGTTTTGAGGATTAAATAAGGTAATACGTGTGCAAGTCCTCAGCTTAGAGCCTGGCCCACAGGCAGTATCTTGTGTCAAGCGCTTACTGTCACTAAACATTTGGCCAACAGCTGCAGAAGCCAGAGCTCAGATACAAGGGACAATGAAACATCCGGTGGGGCAGAAGAATCACACAAATTAAGGAGGGAAAAGGACACCGAGGGGGATAGTTACAGCCTACAGTAAGCAAATGGGCCAGAAGTGGCCCTCCAGTGTGTGAGGCACACAGGAAGGCCACCGGGTCTAGCCTCAGGGCAGCAGAGGAGACAGTCTCCCCTGAGGCCCAGAGGGTCCCCTGGTCAGGCAAGTGAAGCTCTCTCAACCTCAAGGCTCGCCCTCCACCTCAAGGACAGGAATATCCAAGGCATTCCTCTCCTCCCAAGTGCTGGGGGCCTTTATTGGGAAACCAAGCCAGTTCATACATTTGCGTCTTTAAAATACATATAGGGAAAAAAAGTATAGTGTAGTTTTTCAAGAGAAATCAGGCAACCTGCCAAGAATATTCGCTATTAACCCTTGTAAAGTCCAAGCAGAGAAATCAGCTTCCCTTTATTTTCCATTGCTTCATCTCATGTTGGCCACTGCTGGGGAAGGATGAGCAGCTAGTGAGGGATGGAGCCAGGAACTGTCACCATCATCATCACCGTCACATTCTAGTCTATTTCAGGCGCTTTATGAGGAGGGTGTGGGCAAAACCAGCGCTGGGCAGGGGACCCACGGTGGCAAGTGCTCCATAGAAAATGGGGAGCTCACTCCTAGGTGCTCCCCTCCACTCGGGGCTCTGCCACCTCCTCCTCTGTCACTAGTCCCAGGCACTCTGCACCCAGCCTTGAGGGTGAAATAGTTGGGAGTTTTACATCAACACTCTGGCCCACAGGGACCGTTTTGTCAGAACCAGGTCTTCCTGGGCCCCTGGAAGTGTGGTCACTCCTAGAATCCACTCTCTGTCCACATCGGGGCTGACCTTGAACATGTCCCCATGGTGCAGATTCTGGGCTGTCTGCTGATGTCACCCCAACGACCCATTTGCCTCCTGCAGGGCTGCTGAAATAATGCTGTTCTTATTCTTGCCCGACCTGGTGATACTGGCAGGTGGTAAGGGTGCAGGTGTGAGAACCAGCTTCTGCCTGGTACCATATTGTCCCACTCCTTGGAGCACTATGAACAATGCCATAAGGTTGGGGGGGTGACAGGAGACATGCTCTGTGACATTCACCATCCAGGTGCCCAGGGCTGGCAATGTCGGTTTCCATGTGCAATTTTTCCCTCAGAGAGCTCCCCATGGGCAGAGCTCAGGGGATGTGAGCACCTTCTCAGAGGACTGGGGGTGGCAGGGGAGCGGGCTGGCAGGGCCCCCTTAGTTGTGCCCCTCCCTCCTGTCCCTTCCAGGAGTGGCCGTGCTGACCTGGCAGCCATATACCATGAGCGCATTGATGTGGAAGGCCACCACTACGGCCCTTCATCTCCTCAGAGAGAGGATGCCCTCAAGGCTGTGGACACAGTTCTGAAGTACATGACCACGTGGATCCAGGTGACCCGATGCAATGGTGCCCAGTCTGCCCTTGTCCCCTGAAACTCTGCTGGTCCTCCCTCTATCCCCCGCATCTTCCTCCTCCTCCTCCTTTTTTTGTTGAGATGGAGTCCTACTCTCATCTGGGTACAGTACTGTCTCTCTCCCTCTGCTATAACAATGGCCCTTGTGTACCCCATAGGACCGGGGCCTGCAGGACAACCTGAATGTCCTCATTTTCTCAGACCATGGAATGACAGACATCTTCTGGATGGACAAAGTGATTGAGCTGAACAAGTACATCAGCCTCGACGACCTACAGCAAGTGAAGGACCGTGGGCCTGTCGTGAGCCTCTGGCCGGCCCCTGGGAGACACTCTGAGGCAAGGGCCCCATGACGGGGGCAGGAAGCGGCACACACCCTCATTTGCCAACACTTTGGGCTTTGTCCTTTTCCCACAGTCTTAACACAAACTGGATCATCTGCTCCCCGAGGCCAAGCCTCCAACGCTGCAGACAACCTAGGCTGCCTCTCAGGCCCTGAGTAACCCCCCTCAAGCTGTTCAGCTCCTCTGTCTCCATTTTTAATTCTCTAAACTAGGCATCATGGTATTGGCCTCACTGATGGCTATGTGAGTTAAATGAGATGTAGGACGTGCACTGCTCAGCATATGTGCGTGCAGGCAATCTTAGTAGTTTATTACCGGCCTAAAGCAACACTTCTCAGGCTAGACTAGGAACTGGCCGGTGCAGAAGGAGCTTGCTCTTTTCCTGGAGGAAAGCTGCCTGGCCGGTCTGGGGGTGGGGGTGCTGGAGAGAAGGTGCTGAGTGAAGGGAGCAGAGGCCGAGTATGTTAGAGCTCAGCTCTTATCTCTGGAGCCACAAATTTTAGCTCTGGTATCAGCCAGAAGCCAGACAAGGTACCCACCCGGGCCCCTCTGCCTCTCTGTGTGTGCTTGCAGTGACAGGGTCACAGCTGCCCTCCACGTAGAAGTGTGCTGAGCCCACTGCAAGACCACATGTGTCAGTCACGGGGAATGCTCCCAAGAAGGGTGTGGTTGCACCCCACAGCATGCAAAGCCCCACTACCCACAGTCTTTGCCTGCAGGAACTCAGCACCCTGAGAAGACTGGACCTCTACTTTAAACAATCTAATAACCCGGCAGGACTGGGAACCACCCTAAGGAAAGGAGGCAGAGCACATGGCTCCTCTAGCTGACTGCTCAGCCTAGGGGTTCCTAGTCACCTCCCACCTTTGTGGCTTCGTCCATTCCCAGATAAAACTGATCTGTGGGCTCAGCGCCTATAGCTCAACCGGCTAAGGCGCCAGCCATGTACACGCGCCAGCCATGTAAGGCGGCGGGTTCGAATCCCCAGCCCGGACCTGCCAAACAACAATGACGGCTGCAAAATAGCTGGGCGTTGTGGCGGGCGCCTGTGGTCCCAGCTACTTGGGAGGC